CTCAGGGGTTCTTACTTGGTTGAAGGTTGGTGCGTACTACTGATACGTTCCCCGTTGCTCGGAGGTTCCCCAAGTTCTGCGGGTTCCCCGCCCCTGGTGCCTCCTATTGTTACATTGTCCGTTTCTCGGAAGTTCCCCAGGTTACCTAGGGTCCCGCACCCGGTATCTCGTTCCTTGGAATTTCCCCAGATTCCCCGCTCCCGGTGCCATTCTCCAAGCAAAGCCACGCACTGCCAAGCGATGCCAAGCAATGTCAAGCACTGCCAAGCACTGCCAAGCAATGCCAAGCACTGCGCCCATGCACTAGAAGCTTTCCCCTAATCCCACCAGCTCCCTGGGCGCAGGTGGTCTAACGATGTCTTTCGTTCCTCTTCCAAAAACCCTTCTCCCCCTTCGGGGAAGGGTTTACCCCTCCCTTCCCCCTCTCCTGGACCTGGACGGGAGGGACCGCGATCCGCTGGAGCGTCCAAGATCGGCCCCTGGGAGGGCCAATTTGTAACACCCCATACGAGGATCGTGGCCCACGAGGGGGGGGGCGTCGATCGGGACTCTCCCTCCTTTGATCGACAGTCTTGAGGATGGCCCCAAGTGGCGCTCCAGGGCTCTCAAGAGAGCCCCAAGAGAGCACCAAGAGGGCTCCAAGAGGGTCCCCAGAGGGCCCCAAGAGGCACCCGAGAGGCCGCCAAGAGGCCCCCGAGCGGCCTCAGAGAGCCCAAGATGACCTCCAAGATGGTTAAGATAGCCCAAGCTGGCTAACAATTGCCCCAAAGATGCTCCAAGCGGCCCCAAGACCGCTCCAAGAACGCTCCAAGAGAGCCCCAAGAAACGGTTTGCCGGCTCCTGAGGGGGGAGCTGAGTTGGAGAGCCCCCCATCCTGTAATCAATGGCCTCCCAGATAATCCCAAGAAGCCTTCCAGGGTTACCAAGAGGGTGCCAAGAGGGCCCCCCGAACTCCCAGAGAGCAGCAGCAGCAGCAGCAGCAGCAGCAGCAGCAGCAGCAGCAGCAGCAGCAGCAGCAACAGCAGCAGCAGCAGCAGCCGCAATAATACCTCTAGATGGTTCCACGAGTCCTCGTCCGCGTCGTCCTCATCTTAGCCTAGTTCTCGTCCTCCTCGCCCTCGTCCTCATCCGCGTCCTCGTCCTCCTCGTCCTCCTCGTCCTCCTCCTCCTCCTCCTCCTCCTCCTCTTCCCCTCGCCCAAACGCGGCACCCTGGGATGGCCCGAAGAGGCTTTCAAGGTCACCCCCTTGCTCGCTTTGTTTCCCTGGATGTGTCTCTTCGTCCCCTCTCCCGTCAGCTCTGAAGGGCAAGGTTTCTGAATTGGCTGGTGGGGATACTTTTTTGGTACGCGGGCGCGCGAAACGGGTCGAACGCCGGGCTAGCAGGGGGGCAGGCGATGCAGCCGGCTGCGAAAAAGAGACGACGAGCAAAGCCCGCTGCGCTGGTGGGGACACGCGGAGCGTGAAGATTTGGGGGGCCGCGCCGGGCACATTGCTTTCTTGACATTGCTTGGTACTGTCTGGCATTTGTTTGCATCGCTTGCTCGGCTTTGCTGCAAGGGAGCCCGGGGAGCCCGAGGGCTCGCCTCTCAGAAGCAGAGAGAAAACAATGCCAACGGAACCCAGGAAACAACGGGGAAGGCCGGCTGCGCAGGCCGACTTCCCACTGGCAGCACAGCAAGCAAGAACCACTCAGACAAACTCAATCGGGGAAGGAGGAGCCCGTCCCCATCCGGGCAACTGTTGCGAAAACTTATTCCGAAGACGAAAAAACGGCATGAAAATCAACTTTTGGCGCACCGCACGGATTTCTTAGATCTGCGCTGGAGCCCCCTCCCTGGCGCGCGGAGTGCGCCAGGGGCGGCGCTGGAGGCGCCGCGGGGGGGGCCCCAGCGCGGATCCCAGAAATCCGCGCGGAGCGCCAAAAGTATATGTTTATGGCGTTCTTCATTCTTCGACTATTGGACTCCTGCCCCCGTCTTGAGCACTGACCTGGCGGAAGCGCATGCCTTGGCGGCGCGCAGAGGGGGGTAGGGGGAGGGGGGAAGGCTTCTTAGAAGCAAGCCGCTTCTTTGAAGACCCGCGCCTTTTTAAGAAGCAGGGGTGCTTCTAAGAAGCCCTGCCCCCTCCCCCCACCCCACCCCTGCGCGTAGCTGAATTGCACTCCTGCCCCCGTCTTGAGCGCCGACCTGGCGGGAGCGCATGCCCGTGTCCAGCGCCCCTTCCCGTGCGACCCCCAAGGAAGCAGGCTGCCTGGCCAGACCCAGCATCAAGCACACCCCGCACGAGCCGCGCCCCCCCGCCCCTTCCCACACACTGGTACATGAGGAGGAGCGATGGGGTTAGGTCCCCCCTACAAAAGGATTTTGACGACAAATAATGAAAATACGCCTAAAATATCCAAAGGTGGGGAAAAAATGAAAACATTGTCCACCGACGATGTTTTGACTAGTTTTGCACATTTCTCCCGTATAGAGACAAGCCCGAGTTAAGGATAGGGGAGATCTTAAGACGAAACCAGGACGAGGGTGAAGCCGGGTGAGAACAGATCGGGAATCTCTGAGATGCGGCGGCTCTGGAGCATGTCTCGGGCGCCGCGGCCTCCTCAAAACGTTCTGGAACGCTCTGAGAAAATTCCGGAACGCTCTGGAAATGATTGATTCTCGTCCTAGCCCCGTCCGAGAATCTGGCTTATTCAGGGGGAACATCGATCTGGAATCGGCGAAATACCGCCAACAGAGAGGCGATGGGCTCCCGATAGCGAACCCGCATCTTCCAGGGCGAGGTGGGCAGCCTGGACCCCATCGGCGGTGTATGCGCGATCGGGGGTCGATCCACTCCCCTGTGAACTAATCAAGGGCTCCCAGCTTCGCGCTTCGCGCTGCGCAAAGCGCGAAGTGCGAATAACTTCGCGCTTTCGCGCCGCCTCCCAGGGGAGAAGAGGAGGATGAGGAATCGGAGCCGAAGCGCGAAGCGCGAACAACTTCGCGCCCTCGAGGGCGCCCTTGGCTAATCCCCCCCCGCTCAGAACGATGAAAGGCTACCTCGACCGATGAAGGGGCAATGAGATCGGCTCAGGTCAGATTCTGCGGGAGCCTCGCTCTTGGTCTCGGTCTGCGGCCACAGGAGGGGCGAAGCACGAGCAAGCGGCGTCCGTCGCAATGATCTCCGAAATCCTCCAGCGCACGCAAAGTGCACTTTACCGACGGAGTGTCGAGGACATGCCAGGCGCTGAGGGGCAACGATCGGGGGGGGGGACTGGCCCAGGGGGGGGGGACATCGACCTGGAACCGGCGATGCATCACCGATAGATCTGAGTGAGGCCCTCGACTGCAAAGGGGCCAAGGGACGCACAAACAAATAGGCCCCCCCCCCCGGATTCCCATCTGTTCCTGTATACCCTGAGCTTACGAATTGTGCCCGCGTGTTTTTCTCCCCTCCTGACAAATCGTGAATCCGCACGGTCCTGGCCCGGGTGCGGCGAGCAGCTCACCTGCCGGCGATCCATGTGCGATTGCGGGCCGATGCCTCCCCCACGGAGCCGATCCCCCCGCCGTGTCGCTGCCCCCTGGTGCAAGGCTCCCAGGGAATGCATAGACAAAGAAGAAGAAACAGAAGAAATAAGAGAAAGAGTAATACGAACAAGTACAACACATAGCAATCCAATTATTAATAATAATAATAGTAATAACAAACCATAACAATAGTAATATCAATAATCTTAATAATAATAATAATAGTAATAATAAGATATAAGACTAATAACAATAACAACACAAACCACATAAACATAAGATGTTGGCGCTCCGCGCGGATTTCTTGGATCTGCACTGGACCCCCCTCCCTGACACGCGGAGCGCGCCAGGGGCGGCGCCCGATGCGCCGCTGGGAGGGGCTCAGCGCGGATCCAAGAAGTCCGCGCGGAGCGACAAACGTTTATGTTTATGGCGTTGTCTTCGTGGACCGTAGAGGACTCCTAGATGGGGTCCGAGGAGATGGGGTCGGAGGATCGCGCCGCATCGCCGATACATCGGCGATACATCGCCGATGCATTGGCGATGCCGCGGCGACGTCGGCGAAGCTTCGACGCCATCGGCGTGAAGCACATCGGGCTCCACATCGAGCCGCATCGCCGATGCGTCGGCGATGCGGCGCGATCCTCCGACCCCATCTACTCCGACCCCATCTGGAAGGTCTAGAGGAACCCATCCCCCCCAGTGTCGTTACCCCCTGGCCTTGCACCAGGGCCTGGTGCACGGCCGATGCCCCCCCATGGGGGAGGGAGGAGGAGGAGGAGGAGGAGGAGGAGGAGGAGGAGGAGGAGGAGGAGGAGGAGGAGGAGGAAAAGAGGAAGGGAAGGAGGAAGAGGAAGGAGGAGAGGAGGAGAAGGAGGAGGAGGAGAAGGAAGAGGTGGGGAGGAGGAGGGAGGAGGAGGAGGAGGAGCAGGAGGAGGAGGTGGGGGAGGAGGAGGAAGAGGAGGAGGAGGAAGAGGAGGAGGAGGGAGGAAGGAGGAAGGAAGAAGGAGGAAGGAGGAAGGAGAAGGAAGGAGGAGGAAGGAGGAAGGAGGAAGGAGGAAGGAAGGAAGGAAGGAAGGAAGGAAGGAAGGAAGGAAGGAAGAAGGAAGGAAGAAGGAAGGAAGGAAGGAGGAGGAGGAGGAGGAGGAGGAGGAGGGGAGGGAGAGGAGGAGGAGGGAGGAGGGAGGAGGAGGAGGAGGAGGAGGAGGAGAGGAGGTGGGGAGGAGGAGGAAGGAGGAGAGGAGGAGGAAGGAGGAAGGAGGAAGGAGGGAGGGAGAGGAGGAGGGAAAGGAGGAAGGAGAAGGAGGAGGAGGAGGAAGGAGGAGGAGTCGGGTCGCACGGCTCCCGAGTTGCAAGGCTCGCCGCGCACCTCGCGCGGCGGGGGCCTCGGAGCCGAGCACCCCCAGCAGCGCCTGCGCGAGCCGCGGCCGCAGGCCCGTGGCGCTCCCGAGCGGCCCCGCCGCGCCCGGCGGCGCCTCCGCGGCGGCGTCCGCCGCTGCGGCCCTCAGGAGCCCGGCCTGGTCCCCCGAGAACCTGGAGGAGAAGCAGACAGAAACAAGGACGGCGTCGTGGGGTTGTCTCGAGACCGTCTGGGGCCGCCGGGATTACTGTCTGAGGGCTCCCCGAGGCGGGCCCCGGCCCCGGGACCCACATTTGTGGTCGAGGTTCCTGCCCTCGGTCCCTGGGGGCCCCCCGGTGCACGCACGCGTCGCCCCTGAGGGGCGACGCGCACATAGTTCAGCGCAACGTGCGAATCACTTCGCACTCTCGCGCCGCCTCCCAGGGGAGAGGAGGAGGATGAGGAGGAATCGGAGCCGAACCGCGAAGCGCGAACAACTTCGCGCCCGCGAGGGCGCCCTTGCAGAGACGCCATAAGCATAAACAGTTGGCTACCATCTACTCGACCCCATCTACTCGACCCCATCTGCGCCATGAGCATAAACTGTTGGCCGACCCCATCTCCTCGGACCCCATAAACTGGAGGCCTCTAGCGTCGACGCAGAAGAACGCCATCAACAGAAACTGTTGGCGCTCCGCGCGGACTTCACGGATCCGCGCCGGGACCCCCCCACGGCCCCGCTCCGGCGCCGCCCCCCTGACGCGCTCCGCGCGCCAAGGAGGGGGGTCCAGCGCGGATCCAAGAGATCCGCGCGGAGCGCCAAAAGTTTCTGTTTATGACGTTCTTTCTTATCCGATGGAGGAGAAGTTGGGTTAGGAGTGCCCCTGGCCCAAAGTGACGAAAGAACAACACACACCCATACCCATAGTGGGGTCGTTGGGAGGAGGACTGGCTATGGGTATGGGTGCGGGTTGTCGGACCCTGGGGAACGCTCCCGTTCGAGCGGGGACCCCCATCCGACAACACGCACCCATAGCCCTCTCCGACACCCCTATGGATATGGGGGTGTTTTGTTGGTTCGTCACAAAGTGCCCCCATCTTTTTGCTCCATCTTGGAGCCCCTTGGGCCCCCCTGGGCCTCGAGAGGGGTGCTTTGGAGACCGTGGGGGCCTCATTGGACATCCTGGGGGGCCCCTGTGGCCTAGGGCAGTTCTGGCAACACCCGAAGAACCAAGAGCAGCACAAGCATAAACAAAGGAATCCATAACGCCACAATCATAAACTGTTGGCGCTCCGCACGGACTTCTTGGATCTGCGCTGACCCCCTCCCTGGCGCGCCAGGGGCGGCGCTGGAGGCGCAAGGGGGGCCCAGCGCGGATCCAAGAAATCCATGCAGAGCGCCAAAAATTCTGTTTATGGCGTCTTTTCCTCTTTGATTATAGAGCGACACCACCCACCACCAGGGACCGCCAGCGTGAGGAGCCAGGGAGGGGTCCCCCTGGTCGTGTGCCCCTCCTCCTCCTCCTCCTCCTCCTCCTCCTCCTCCTCCTCCTCCTCCTCCTCCTCCTCCGCCCTCCTCCCGCCTCTCCCTGCCCTTCTGTCGGGCGCGTCCCCCTACAGGCGGATTTGGGACAACAGAAAGTATCAACAAATAGTCAAAATCGGCGGTGGACAAACCTCCCTTGTGTAAACCTCCCATTAGTGAAAACGGCCTGGGGCCGAAACCGACGGACCTGGACTCGCAAAAACGACGGCCGCGACGCCCTCTCGCGAACCGAAAACGGCCAACTCCTTAATCGACGTGTCAGGGTAGGAGGTCTGTCCACCCCCGACAAAAAAAAAGAAGAAAAATCCGCCGCCCCCTTGGGGTCACGGCGTGTCAGATGCTTCCCCCTCCCAAAACCCCTCCCCCAGGGGCCTGGTCCGGCCGGTTTGGAGGGGGGGGGCATGGCAAATCCATCATCCGCACACTTGGATCCTCAGGAGGCCCCAAAACGGGCCAAAAAGGTTCCAAAGATTCCCGGAACGGTCCAAGAGAGCTACGGATCGATGAAAGATCGCCCCAAAACGACGAAGATGACCTCCACACGGCTCCATAAATCCCCAAGACGTTTGAAACAATATTACGAGGCGCCCCAGAGAGGCCCTCCAGAAGCAAACATCGTCCCATTTCCAAGGGGAAACATACATTTTCACTACACTCGCCCATTCGGTTTCCACGCGGCGCCAAACGGCCCAAGACGCCTCCAAGATCGACCCTCGCCACCCCAAGAGGCTCCCAAGAAGGCTCCAAGACGGCCTTCGGGCGATCAACGAAGGCCCCAGAAACCACAGTAACGGCTTAGGAAAGCCGCAGGACGGTCCCAAGAGGGATCCAAAAGGGGGCAAGGGGGCCCCCAAAAGGCTGTCCAGACGGCCCACGCGGGGGACGATTCTGTCCAAACCGCCCAAGGTCGCCGCCAGACGGCCCCATGGGTGTCCAAGAAGTTTGAAAACGCGACCACGAGGCGCTCCAAGAAGGCCTCCAAAAGCAAAAACCGTCCCAGTCCCTACGGAAAACGTACATTTTCAGCACATTCGCTTCTTGGGCTTTCACGAGGCCCACAACGGCCCAATAAACCTCCAAGATCGACCCCTGTCACCCGAAGAGGCTTCCAAGAAGGCTCCAAGACGGCTTCTGGGCGATCCACGAAAGCTCCAGAAACCATAGCAACGGCCAAGGAAAGCCGCAAGACGGTCCCAAGAGGATTCCAAAACGGGCCAAGAGGGCTCCCAAAGGCTGTCTGGACGGCCCGCGGGGGACAATCCGGTCCAAACCGCCCAAGGTTGCCTCCAGACAGCCCCATGGGCCATGGGCGTCCAAAACGTTTGCATACGCGACCACGAGGCGCTCCAAGAAGGCCTCCAGAGGCAAAAACCGTCCCAGTCCCGAAGGAAAACGTACACTTTCAGCAACTCCGCTTCTTGGGCTTCCACGAGGCCCACAAGGGAGCAGTAAACCTCCAAGATCGACCTCTGGCACCTTAGGACTCTCCAAAAGGCTCCACGACGGCCTCCGGGCGCCCCACGAAGGCCCCAGAAACCATAGCAACGGCCCGTTGGAACCGCAGGACGGTCCGAAGAGGGCTCCAAAACATCTAGAAGGGCCTCACAGGCTGTCTGGACAGACCACGCGGGGGACGATTGCTGCCGCCCCAAGGAGTCGGCGGTGTGGCGTAAGCCAATGACTCGTCCCCAGACTATTTGTTAAAACTATTTTGAAGATTCCTCCTGTAGAGGGACAGGCTCGACTTAACCCTACCCCCGGCATAGGGACGAGAAGTACGCCATGATATACAGTCGAATCTGATTCGAGAGGGCACGCCAGAGGACACGAGACCCTTCCGAGGGCCTCGCTGCCGTAGGGATGTAGAAGGCATGGGCCGCTAGACACAGGTCACAAGTGTACCCTCGATTTGGCAGGGTTGACCTGCTGATCAAGATCGACTGTACGAGAACAATGCCCATGCACAATGCCATGTTTGGACTCCCTTCTGGCGCAGCTCCAACGCGGTATGTTTCAGAATCTTGCTTCTCTGAAACTGACAAATCTGCTCCGTGCGACACCTAGATCGAAGATCGACGACTCCAGAAATGCCTGCCAACACGGTACGGTGCACACAAGCCAGCTTCGGATGATACGGTTGACTCGGGATGCATTGCAGGAATTCTACGAACATCCAGCGGACCACGTTTCTGACACCCGTGTGGAACTTCCGGGAATCGGGGGAATTCTAGAAACCTTGGAACGTATCGTTGTCATGACCTCTCGCTCCTCCGAAGAATCTGTCGGAGGTCCGTGCGGATTTCTTCCATCCGCGCTGGAGCCACCCCCGGCGGCGCTTGCGGCGCCGCCCCTGGCGCGCGCTCCGCGCGCGCGCCATGGCAAGGGAGCCCAGCGCATATCCGAGACGCCCGCTGCGCGGAGCTCCAAAAACATGTTCGTGCCGTTTTTCCCTTCCTCGAGAGAATCAGCGCCCCTCCAACGGGGACTCCATTTCAACGGGTAACTACCTCTGGCCAGTGACCCGGCGAACCCAGCCCTCTGGGGTGTGGGCAACGCTGCAGTGCCAGAAAGAGGCCACAGACTGGCCGAGTTCGGCAGATTTCCGAAGTGCCCGTTAGTGAATACCCGTCACGGCGCCAGGGACGGGGAGCCCAGCGCAGATCCGAGACACCCGCGCGGAGCTGCAAAAGTTTATGCTCGTGCCGTTTTCCGCCACCAAACTAAGTACACAGACATCCTCCACTGGATTGCTCCTGGGCCTCAGAGGAGGGTGGCGGTGTATAAATCACCACCGAGAGCCGGCAATTTTTCATGCACGGGGAGGTACACTCAAAACTCCGTCGGAGGGTGTCTGTGCATACATGTTTTCGTGGCGCCCTTTCCTCCCTCGCGAGAACCGCTGCACGAGGGTGCGTGCGGTGCCGGGAGAGATCCCGGGAGTGCTGCCGACCCGCTGGACGAGGTCGTCCCACGCGAGGCCGGCATGGCCGTCGAGGAACTCGGCCACCAGGCCGCGGGCCGCCGGCCGCGAGAGCCTGGCGAGGGCCATCGCGCGACCGACGGGCTCTGGGGCGGACTCGTCGGAGAGCAGCGCTCGGCAGAGGCTCGCTGCGTCCGGGAAGCGGGCGGCTAAGCTGTCGGCAGATGCTTCGGAGACGCCGTCGGCAGCCATGATCCGCTGCCGGTGCCGCTCCAGGGCGAGCCCGTCCTGGCCGAGCACTGCCTCGACGAGTCGGCAGCACGCGGGGCGGCTCAGCTGCGGTAGAAGCTGGCCTGCCTCGGCGACAGGGTCCGTGGCCTCCGAGAGGTGGTCGCGCAGTGCACTTCTGGTGCCGAACCGTTTGACCAGGGATGCAGCAGATTCACGCGTCAACCCATTCACCGCGGAGAGGGAGTGGACGAAGTCTTCACGGGCCACCGCACCTTTGCCCGCCAACGCCTCGGCTAGGAGTGCAGCTGTGGGCCGATTCAAAGACGCGGAGCCACCACCACCGCTATGCTCCATGAGCCACTCCACGGGATCCTCTGCAGACAGCATCGCTGTCAGAAACGACTGCATGTGTTGGTGGCGAGCGAGAGGGGGAAATGGGAAGGAGAAGGCCTTGTCAGAAGGCGGCGGGACTTCTCAGAAGCCCTCGCGCCTTTTGAGAAGTCATCGGTGTCTCAGGGGAAGGCTTAGAAAACTTCTCAGAAGGCCAGGGGACCTCCGAGGCATCTGAGAAGGCCCGCCCTTTCTTTCCTCCTCCTCCTCCTCCTCCTCTTCTTCTTCCTCCTCCTCTTCTTCTTCTTCTTCTTCTTCCTCCCCCTCCTCCTCCTCTTTCTCCTCCTCCTCCTCCTCCTCTTCCTCCTTCTCAATTCCCCCCCCTCGCTCGCCGCCGAATGTGTGGGTGGCCCTCGGCAAGGCACCGGGCACCATGGCGAGAGAGGCCTCGCACGCACCGGAGCTGGTCAGAGAGTACTTCCCTGGGGTCTTCCCCACGTCGTGGCCTGTGAGGCTTGTCGAGCCGAACGCTGTACTGAGCGGGCCCAAACTTTGTGATCCGCGGGTAGTCGCTGACGAGGGTCCTGATGATCTCAACTGTCCCAGCTATATCTGTAGAGCGCAAAACCGGAATCTGGTCGCGGATCGTGATCCTCGCCAGAGTCGAATTCACCAACCGTCGTTTCGATTCATAAGTCTGCTCCGATGTCTCTTCGACGAACCCAGCGGCCTTTGCACACTTCATCCGCAAAGACGACAAGTGCCCCTCGACAATCAACAAAGTACGAAAACGCTCGTAATCAGTGGCATGGAGTTTATTCCCAAGCTGATTATGGAGCCGTGTGTCAAATATGGAGCTGACCAAATCATTCAAGCTTTTCCGCTCAACGAAGATTTCGTAGGGAGGCGAACCGATGATGACATCGGCCACACGCAAGGTCTCGACTGTGAAAGGAAACGTGTCTCCCTCGTGCTCTCGAAGATGCTCAAGAAGTTTCCGCTCCCTGGAATCGATGCGGACCAAGATTCCGGCATTTTCGCAAGCCGGATCCCCGTCATCCACCTCCGCCAATAAGGGCACCTCCTCGACATCACTCCCTGCCGCTATGTAATGTGCCCATGCGCGCATCTTCTTTGACCAACGGCCCTCCTGACCGGAGAGGAGCAACTGTTGGGGAAATTCAGCTGAATTGTCCCTCAGTGCCAGTAACACATCAGCATCTGTCTTTTGCGAAACAAAGGTTATCCGCCAGTGCCTCTGGGCACGGAGTGGGCATGTCCTCAGGTCCTCTCACTACCCCTCCAAACCTCAAATATCTAAAAGGGTTCGGAGCCCCTGGGCCCAAATCGCCTGGGGCTTGTCGTGGGTCCCCTGGGCTTCAGCGCGGTCTGTCGCGTGATTTTGTGGGGCCCCCAAGGGCCCCCAGACGGGACAACAGAGCCCCAAGAGGCCGCCAAGGCGGTGCCAGAGGGCTCCGACTCGCTCACATGTCGCCCCAAGACGCGGAGGGTGTACCCAAGACGGCCCAGAAAGTCCCCAAGACGCCCCACGAGGCATTCGAGAGGCCTCCGAGGAGGGCCCCGAGGGGCAACACTCATTCATTTGCCTTAGGCTGTCGCGAGTGGTTGGCTTTCTGGCCGATTCGGCTTCCCGACGCTGCCAGACGGCCGAGGAAGCCGCCCCAAGACGGCCGAGAAGGCCGCCACGGCGCCCTCTGCCCAAGAGGGCCCCAGGACGGCCCAAGAAGTGCCCGAAACGGACCCCGAGAGCCCCAAGACGCTCCCAAAAGGGGCCCCCCAATTTGGGGGGGCCCCTTTTGGGACCCCAAAGGGGTCACGAACCGAAAATCCGAGCCGAAAAGGGGCCCCAAAGGGATCACGAACCGAAAATCCGAACCGAAAATCCCTTTGGGGGCCCCAAAGGGGTCACGAACCGAAAATCCGAGCCTTCCGCCCCAAGAGGCCCCCAGGAGGCTCCTCGCGGCGCCCAGGGGCCCCACAAGGCCCCCAAGAGGGCCCCAAGAGGCCACAAGGAGGCCCAAAAGAGGCCCCAATGTGCCCCCAAGAGGCGTCCAAACTGCTCCCAAGAGGCCCCGAGAGCCCCCCCAGGAGATCCCAACGACCATCAAATAAACTTCAGACCCGCAACCCAGGCACGGTGGCGGGGTGGGCCGAAGGCCATTCGATCCGCCGCCCCCTTTTGATTTATCAAAAGGGTGCCTGGCGTGCCGGATGAGATGGCTTTTGGTTTTGGTTCTTTTTCCACAAGAACTCCCCCTGGGGCTTCGGCCCGTCCCGCCGGCCACCTGGAAAGGATCTCAAAACGCGTCCGTCGTGCTTCTGTTTCCTCCAGTTGGCCCAAGATGGCGTCCAAGACGGCCAAGATGGACCAGGATGGTCTCTAAGACGTCTCCAAGACGGCCCGAGATGGCCTCCAAGACGGCTAAGATTGCCCCAAGATGCATCCAAGACGGCCCAAAATGTACCCAAGACGGCCTCAGATAGCCTCAGAATGGCCTCAACATGGCCCAAGACGGCCCAAGACGCCTTTAATACGGTCCAAAAGGCCTCCAAGAGGTCTTCCAGGAAGGCCTCGAGTTGATTGCCTTGAGTTTTTGAAGGATTTGGGGATTTGCTTCTTCTCGGCATTCCGACGGCTCCAGACGGCCCAAGAGGCCCCCAAGATCGCCCCAAAATCGCCCACGCGGTCTCCAAAATGGCCCCATGACGGTCCAAGAGTTCCCCAAGACGGCCCCAAGGGGCCTTCAAGACGGCCAAGATGGCCTCCAAGACGGCCAAGATGGCCTCCAAGATAGCCTGCAAGTCCGCCCAAGAGAGGAGGAAATGCCTCCAAGTCCGCCCAAGAAACACTCCAAGACGGCCCAAGACGGCCCAAGAAGTGCCCAAGAGACCTCCAAGACGGCCCAGGAGGCCCCCGAGAGGTCTTCCAGGAGGGCCTGAAGAGGCCAAAATCATTGATTGTCCTTGGGTTGTTGGAGGATTTTCGTATTTGCTCCTTTTCGGCTTCCCGACGGCCCAAGACGGCCCAAGAGGCCCCCAATCTCGCCCCCACAGCGCCCAAGAGGCCTCCAAGATGGCCTCAGGACTGCCCAAGAGGCCCCCAAGACGGCCCCAAGAGGACACAAAGACGACCCAAGAGGCTTCCAAGGCGCCCAAGATGGCGTCTAAGACGGCCCTGGAGCACCCCAAGAGGGCCCCAAGTCGGGCCCAGAGAGGCCCCCTAACCGGCTTCCGACGGCGTCAGACGGGCCGGGAGCCGTCCAAGATGGCCGAAGTTGGCTCGAAGCTGGCCCAAGACGGCCCAAGAGGCCTCCAAGAGGGCCTCCAGGAAGGCCAAAAACGTGTTTGTCCTGGGTGTTCGAATCTTTTTGGCATGTGTTTCTTTTCGCCCAATACGGCCCAAAAGCCCCCAACGATCGCCCAAAGATCGCCCAAGAGGCCTCCAAAATTGCCCCAGAACGGCCCAAGAGGCCTCCAAGACGGCCCAAGAGGCCCCCAAGACGCCCAAGATAGCCTCCAAGACGGCCATGGAGCATTCCAAGAGGGCCCCAAATCGGCCCAGAGGGCCCCCCTAACGGCTTCCGACGGCGTCGGACGGGCAAGGAGCCAACCAAAACGACCGAAGATGGCCCTAAGATGGCCCAAGACGGCCCAAGAGGCTTCCAAGAAGGCCTCCAGGAAGGGCCGAAAAGGTCAAACTCATTGTTTTCCCATGAGTTGTTGAAGGATTGTGACATTTGCTGGTTGTTCTGCCTTCCGACGGCCCGAGACGGCCCAAGTTCACCCAAAGATCGCCCAAGAGGCCCACGACGGCCCCCAGAGGTCCCCAAGACGGCCCAAGAGCCCTCCAAGACGTCCTCCAAGAAGGCCCGAAAGGGTCAATATGGCCTCCAGGCGCCCAAGATGACTTTCAAGATGCCCACGTGTTCCCCGAAGGCTCTCCAAACCAATTCGGGGATCACATGGTCCGATAGCTTGGCAGGTCTGGCCTCAATGTTCGGCCACCTAGGCGCTTCCAAACAGGCAGGGGGCGGCGGTGATTCGCCGCATGCGTCTTAGATAAGTGTACCCTTCTTCTCCAGCTGAAAACGCTGTGACACATGCCAACGCGAACTGAAAGCAACCACACCAGGCGGCGCACAGTCGCGACAGTGTGAGAAAGCTCCAACCACTCTCTTCAACATCATCTCAAGATCATACCACAGCGACTGTACAGATGGAATCGATCGTAATTAGATGAACGCAACAAGATTGAACCAAAACGGCTATGGAACTCCTGCGCATGACAGGTGCAAAACGCCCTCTTCAAGAACAATGTTTTCCGACCGCGGGCGACGGGATATCGACCTGTGGGGGGGACTTGCAGGTTCGGGGCCGTGGTCAGCAGCTCGATTCGCCGTGTGACCCCTGAGAGCCCGACCGTGCCATACGATTCGACATCCGATCGCGACGCGTCCCCAATGCCAAACGAAACAAACAGAAAAAGACTGAGAACACGTTTGGGCCTCAATACGATTCAGAACCATGCGATATTGCACCACCACTTCAATGTCCTCTCCCGAATCCTGGCCGAACTGAAAGGAATCTGACTATGTTCATGAAGCTCGCGCCGAAAGGCGGGACCATATGAGAACGACATTCCGTCTTGACTCTTGCTTGACCGCTACTATCTCGCTAGAGGGTACCGGTAGTACCTCGTATAATAATCGGAATACGCTCGGCCCGTATCATAAGGATACGCGGAAAGGGTGCAAGGGCTACCCACACTTACTCTGCGGGTTGACTGTAGTAAGATTGGGAAGAGGGCTGATGAGGAGCGAGGCCTCTTGGCCTTCGGGGGGGTCCTCCACGGCTGGATGGTTCCTCCTCCTCCTCCTCCTCCGCCTCCCCTGCAATTAGGAAATGATGTCAAGTGTCCTCGCTATTGGTTTCTTCTGCCCTCAAATTGTTGTTGCGTTTTCTCACGCACTGTCCACTGCACGTGGGCGGCTTTGGTCTGCATGGCGTCTTCAACGTAGTGCACACCCCCGGCAACGATGCCCTCTGGCGTCTTTTGTCCCTCCCCCCCTCCCTTCCCGCTCCGTGTCCTTCTGCCCCCTCCCTGGCATGAGGATTCAATGCGCCAGGGCTTTGATTCCCAAGACAGCGGTCGCATCTACGTATTCGTACCTCTTGTTCGTGAGTAGTTGGATGCGTGTGCCGAGGCTTCGCCTGGTGCCTGGTTGCCGCGTGGATCAGGTGGGTTGGATGCTCGTTCTGGGGATCTTCCTGGAGACACTCGCTCCACTTCTGCGCCGGAGCTGCGTCGAACGCCCGTCGCCTTGCGCCGACCTTGAGTCGAATCTGGGTCTGGGGAGAGCAGGAGGTACCGACACCGCTACTCCCCAGATCTCTCCCGGGGTGCGTTCTGACCAGAATTTAAAAGCGAATCCAGCGGTGGCGACGAGGGTCTCCCAGGAGGCCCAAAAAGGGGCAAACAAGCGAGGGGGTAGAGGTATGGGTACCTTTTCCTCCTCTGAGGGTCGAACCTGGATCGAACCTCAGTCGAACTGGAATTGAACTCGACTCGAACTGGAGTCGAACAGATCCGTTAGAGGTGGGCCCCAGGAAGGTCCCCCGAAACGAGCATCTCTAAGGCGGGTGCGCCGAGGTTTCGACTGGTGCCCGACAGTGGGTGCCTCGCGCGCTGGGTGGCTGTGCCGAGGCTTCTTACGGGCCTGTTGTCCACCACCACCGCCATAAGTTGCAGGGAGGAAGGAAGGGGAGGACGGGGAGGAGGACAGAGAGGAGAAGGACGGAGAAGGAGAACGGACAGGAGGAGGAGGAGGAGGAGGAGGAAAAGGAGGAGGAGGAAAAGGAGGAGTAAAAGGAAGGAGGAGGAGGAGGGAGGAGGAGAAAAAGAAGGAGGAGGAGGAGGGGAGGAGGGGAGGACGGAGGAGGAGGGAGGGAGGAAGGAGGAGGAGAGGACGGAGGGAGAGGGAGGGAGGAAGGAGGGAGGAGGAGGAGGAGGAGCAGGAGAAGGAGGAGGACGAGAAAAAAAAAGGAGGAGGAGGAGGAGGCCAGAGGAGGAGGGAGGGAGGAGGGAGGAGGAGGTAGAGGAGAGCAGGAGGAGGAGAGGAGGAGGAGGAAAAGTAGGAGGAGGAGGAGGAGGGAGGAGGAGGGTAGGAGGAAGGAGGTTGGGGGGCGGGAGAGAGGAGGAGGTGGAGGACCCCCCTCCCCCTCCAACTGGTGGTGGCGGTGGAGAACGGGCCCATCGGTTTCCCCGCCTGCCTGCCCGCAGCCGCCCGTGGGCGGGCGCCCGGTGGGCGCCCCCTGCGCTGGGTGGCCGTCGGCGCCCCGTGGTGGGCCCATTCGCGGGCGCCCCGCGGGCGGGCGCACACCATACGGAAGTCGGAGGGGGAGGGGGTCCTCCTCCTCCTCTTCCTCTTCCTCTTCCTCCTCCTCCTCCATCTCCTCCTCCTCCTCCTCTTCTTCCTTCTTCCTCCTCTCCTCTTCTTCTTCTTCGTCTTCCTCCTCCTCCTCCTCCTTCTCCTCTTCTTCGTCCTTCTCCTCTTCCTTTTCTTCTTCCTTCTCCTCCACCTCCTCCTTTTCCTCCTCCTCTTCCTCCACCTTCTCCTCCTCCTCTTCCTCCTCTTCTTCCTCCTCCTCTTCTTCCTCCACCTCCTCCTCCTCCTCCTCCACCTCCTCCTCCTCCACCTCCTCCTCCTCCTCCTTCTCTTCCTCCTCCTCCTCCTCTTCTTCCTCCACCTCCCATTGTCGTGGTGGTGGTGGTGGTGGAAAACAGGCCCGTCATACCTGCAACGCGCAGCTTGCACAGCGCAAGTTTCACCACATCGTCTTCTGGGGAGAGGAAGCGCAACAACTGATCTCATCCACACAACTCGGCCTCGACGAATCTAGGTTGCGAGCTAAGTAGTTGCGACAAGCGTGGTGAACGGGCCACTCGTAACAAACATTGCCCAGGTCAGCGTGCGAAGCTCCGAGAAACGGAATCCCGCCACACACGCCAAAGTCGGTGTCACATTGCTTGCACTGCACGAGTTGCACCGCGTAGCTTGTGCCACATCTCCTTTTCCACAGCGTAGCTTGCATCACATATCCTCACCACATGGATACAGCCATGTACCTAACACCACATAGCTTACACCACATAGTTTACATCACATGTCCCATGGCTTACACCACAGGAGATCTCGGGCAAAGCTAGGACAATGATAAATCCGTCCCGAGGCGTTCCGGACCGCTGGGACAAGGCCGCGGCGCCCGAAACATCCTCGGGGGACGCCGAATCTCTGAGATTCGCAAGTTTTAATCATCCGAATGTGTCCTGGTCCTGGCTTCGTCTTAAGACAGCACCCCGTAGCGCAACCCACAAACATAGACCACATAGATCGCACCGCGTAGTTTGCATCACGTAGCGTTCAACCCGTAGCTTGCACCAAATGGCGTACACCACAACATTTGCACCACATAGTTTGCGCCGCAGATGCTGCGACGCGCAGCTTTCACCACATAACAAGCACCACGTGGACTGCGCCCCAGAGCTTGCACCGAAAGAGTTGCACCACATAGCTTGCACATCCACATTGCAGTGGGCCACCGCCGGCGCACATCATCTTCGCAAGCGCTGTTCCACCTGGGAACTGGCGACGCGCAATGGGTCTGCCTCCGCGCATATGGTTCAAAGACCTGGCGCGTGCAGCGCGAGACACAACGCGCCAAGTCTTTCGGTCTCGCCCCCGACAGACCAGGCGCGCTCCCCGCGAGACCCCGCGCTCTCAGGGGTGTGGCGCCACACCCCTGGGAACGCGGGGTCCCGCCGTGGAGCGTGCCAGGTCCACCCGTCAGGCCCCCCGACCTCCTGGAGCGCAGGATCTCGCGCAGAATGCACCAGGTCCTTCGGGCAGCCCTCCCACCAAATCCCAGAGGGCGGGGTTCTGCGAGGAGGAGGAGGAAGAGGAGGAGGAGGAGGACGAGGAGGAGGAGGAGGAGGAGGCGAAGGAGGAGGAGG